AGCTTCCTAGCTTTTGTGGTTCCCGAGTTGAAGGTTGCGGACAAGTTGCTGCGGACACACACACACCGACAATCCCGTGACAATATGTGTTTTGTACTGCTGTTACACAGCATAAAATGGGGTTTGAAAGGAAGTATATTGGCAAGGGCGTGTGTCATGTGTCTAGAGATGTAGCGTAGTTGAGCGAACGTCCTGTTGCTGTATTGTAAATGCTGCAATACAAGACCCAGATGAGGCGCGCATACTTTCCGGAACAATCTCAAAAATATGCACAAAGCCACTTAGCCGAGCAAAAAAAAAAAGAAAACAAAACTCCCCGAATAATAACACCATTCAGCGAGAAATTCACCAAAGGAACACAACCCGCCCCAGAACAACCCCGGGAAATTCGCTCGGCCACCGTAGCATACACCCCCACACCCCGTTCTTCCCACGTGACCCGTGCTATTTTCTTCACTTTCGCGTCCCCAACATCTTCTCGAAAGTGAATTCTCTCTTCCCTCAATTTTCGCAAGACTTGATGTCTGCTGTCTCCGCTTTATCAGTACTATTTCTTGGACTTTTTCCACTGAGGTTTCCCGCAAACTGGCATGAACTTCTAGTAAGCGGTTGCATCCCCCTCCCCCTTACTCCCAGCCTCAGATTCCTTGAGAAGACAGATATGGAAGCCACAGGTAAGATAGGGGATGTACAAGTTCTGCGTTGGAGGGTACGCCACAGCGTTCCCGAAAACGGAGCATCTTTGTAGCAGGAGGGCACGCTGCACGAGTTTTCTCGTGACAGCTTGCTGAATACCTACGTTCCCTTAAAAACACCGTGTATTTTCAAGCGTGGTTCGCCTGCCACTCCTTCCATCTGCAAGAGCTCGTAGCACAACATTCAGCAGTTGCACAGCACGCTATCGAATGCTTTTTCGTAATCGACGAAGCAAAGAAACAAAGAGGGAAGTGATAATCAGCAATGTATTTGACCAGTTTTGGTGTTTGAAGTTCTTTTTTTCAAAAATTTGTCAGATGAATATACGGAGAGGGATGTTCATTCTAATCTGATTTGGTAGCTTCCTTGCCCGATCACTGTTGGACCGGATGCGAGCATGTGTTTTTGCTCAGCTTTTTACGCAAGTTTCACTCAGAAGTGAGTGCATTTTGCAGCGAACGACCACCCTCAATCCTCTCCCAACATCCGCTTCTAGTGACCCTTTTGGCGGTAGACGTTTTCGTCTTCGTCTTCTCTCTTTCTCTCGTCTCCATTATCATCTGTTCCGGGGACAGTGTAATTTCAAGAGAATATTCCCTGTCCACTTAAGTCTCAATGAGCTCAAACCCAGTGCTCGGGTATGCGTGGTACCCACACGCGGGCCCGCCAAAGTTAACTCGGGATTTTGAGAACCTAGAAGATTGTAATTTTAAGGGGCGATGTTCCCCGTCCAAGTAGGTATTAATGAGCTCAAACCCGGACACCGGATATGCGTGGTACCCACGTACGAGCCCGTGAAACTTTTTTTCGGGTAAGTGCTGGAAAATTTGGAATGCTACTAAATTGCTAATGAAAATAATGAAATTAAGCAGTTTTGAAAGGTTGAAACAAGACGGGGTAAGACGTTTCTTACGGCCACATGTATAATTCGGTCGTCGTGTAGACCAACAAAGGAAAACAGTCGAATTTTAATATGTGGTCAAACTCCAAAAAAAAGGCATTTAGGTATCGCAGGTATGCAAACCGGTATTTAGAGTAGGCATCGTCTGTGTTTCATCCCTGAACTGTAGACACAGACGGCTGAGTCGGTGCTAACTCGGAAACTGAAAAGCTAGAAGACTGGAATTTTGAAAGGATTTGGCCGACCGGGCAGTTTCTGGTAAAATGGTGACGCAAATTTTTGCTATGTATGCGTGGGAATTAGCATAAAAATGCGATGTGCTCGGTGTATTCTGTATTTAAGCGGTGTGTTGCGCGTTTTTGCTTTCTTATTTTATTGCTTCGTTAGCCGGGCGCTCAGGTTGCAGTACCGCACTAACCGCGGGTAGTCGTTTTGATGTTGATCGTGGACAGTTTGCTGAGCAATGCCAAGGTGCGGATGCGTGATGTGGCGGCCGTGCAACGCAAACTGGTGCAGATGATCGAGAGCGGATGCGACAAACTACTGGTAAAACGCTTTTCTCCCAGGCTTCGCAAGTGTTTTGGAAATTTTTTGAAAAATGTAAACTATGAAAGTTTGTTTGGCACCATAGGCCCGCCGGCGAGAGGAACACAGTCGAATATTGACAGTTGTGGGGAAGCAGGAAGTGCCAATTTAGATACCCAGATAAGCGAGCCTGTATGTGCATTAGCTGTTGTCCTCTCTGTGTCTCCGGCCCCCCGTGCTTGCCGGCCAAGGAACTGCCGGAAAAGTGAAATTCTTGTTGTGGGTGATGTGAGAAATAAGGCATGTTTTTGCAGGTGATCTCGGACTTCGACTACACGCTGTCACGTTTCCACGACGCGCAGGGCGGAAGTTGCTGGACGACGCACGGCGTATTCGATTCTGCTGCGGCCTGTGTGGCACCGGAACTCGGCGATATCTTCCAGAGGCTCAAAGCCAAGTATCTCCCGGTTGAATTCGATCCGCACATGACCATTGCTCAGAAAACACCGCTTATGGAAGAGTGGTTCGTTCACCGTCTTCTTCACTCATCTTTTTTTTTGTTTTTGAGCATTCTCATTGTTTTTTTGGCGGTTAGGAAGCTGTACTGATGATTCCCGCTGCTACCCGCACACATTACTCGGTCTGTGTTTTGCAGCTAAGGGATGAAACACATTGAGTTACCACATAGTAAAATGTCCTTCGACACATGACACTTAAGACCAATCTACAAAATTTCCTAACAAACATTGGACGAGGGAGAACGAGGAAGAATGATTGTTGAAACTAATACATGTGAAGAAGGTGGCACTGACTGCCAATGTGTGCGTGTGTGTGTTCCGATGTGAATGTACAATGACTAGTGCATTTTAGTAAATGTGGAGTACATGCCTGTGATGCTAATCGCCCTAAATCAAAGTGTTGTAGGTGGCGAAAATCT